GCTTTTTTGCACTTCCTCCATTTTTCCCAAGCCACTTTGCTATTAAAACACAAAGTTATCTTTGTCTTTTAAGAGCAAGAAATCTTTAACAAGTGATTTTACCTTTTCACTCCCACCTCCACCTTTCACACTTCTCATATTGAACTTCTTGACCTCTTCTTTTACTTCTTCCATATAAGCATCTAAAGGATCTAACTCCTCATCCTCAACCTCATTGCCTTCTTTTTCTCCTTCTGCAGTTTCCTCTTCATCATCTAGTAAGAGTGAAAAAGATGGGGATAAAAGACAGGGAAAGACAGAAGTCCTTACATGTATCAAATTACTGTCCACCCCAATAATTACAGCCCAGTGTTATCACTATATAATTTTTCCCCATACAAATCTCTCCAGTTGGTTTATCAAAAATGTATCTTAAACCATTTGACACCATGACCAGATTTAGGCTTTGTTATGGTTTACATTTTATGGTTCACATTCTGAAGAGTAATCAGATGCTTTAAAGATATTGCAATAAAAATATTACTAGGAACAAAAGTATTCTGTTATATAAAAAGAGGTTAAATACCATCATCATCTTCTAAACTCCATTTTTTCCCCTGTTTCATCTCTTCAATTTCTTTTTTTAGCTCTCCTATGTTTTCCATTGCCTTCTTGCGCTGTTCTTCCCTCCATTTCTCCACTCTTTCTTTTCGTTTTCTCATTTCTTCTTCTAGTTTGTTCTGATCAAAATTCTATTGACAAAAACCAACCAAAAAGTGAAAATTAATGGCCACCGGCTTTAGCTTATGCTTCTTTAAAAAAATGTAACCATTGAGTGAGCAAGCTGTAGAAGACTGGACATCCACAAACTTCCTGGTTTAAATTCTTTATCTTTTAAATTTCTAAGTATTAAAAGTCTCTACCTCAGTGGCCACAGCATTTGTGGTAGCATCTTTATCCTTCTCCTCCTCTTTGTCATCTTTGTCTTTTTTCTTTTCTTTGGAAACTTCCACACCTTCTGTCTTTTCTTTAGATCTTGATCTGAAAGGTAAGATCAAAGGTTTCTTAGAACATTACAACTTTTCTCAGGGGAAGGACACATATATGCTGGACAGAAATCAAACTATGATCACCCTGTTACGTTTTCAAACACCTCACAAAACACACTGCTTCCCAGACAATCTTTCCATGTCATAGAATTACTTCCTCTAACTACCAGTAATGTAGACTCTAACCCAATCCAATGATTCATGTGCTTTTCTCATTTTTTTGCAGACTTCATTTTCAGAGCTCTTACAATTGATGCTCTAGTTGTTCTGCACTTTATTTTACACCTCCTTGAAGTCAGCATTTAGGAAAGATAGAAAAAATTCCTGTTTGTAGAATTTCTAGAGAAAGGTAAAATGATCTAGCATTCTGCCATGGAAACATGAGCATCCCTCTAAACACATTGTCCTCGATGACAGACAAAAGCCCTTCTCCCTGGATAAAGCAACTTCCGTAATGCAAATATAACAGGCAGACTTGCACTGAATACAAAACCCATTTATCACAGGTTTTATTATCCTTACTTGATTCCAATTTAAAAGAAAGATTCTAAACCAACTTTGTGCTAGCTTATAACAATATAAAATTTCCTTTAGGTAATTTAATATCACTAAGCTTTTTTCTTTTGACTATTCTAATACAAAACACACAGTTACTCCCAAAGTCTTTGTGATTCCAATTCCAGCTTGTCATGATTTCTAGAGTGCCATCACTACTTATGCTGTATACAGACTGTTATCATTTACAGGCTTCCCATCCGCTTTACAGCAGAGCCTGACTATATGCTGTTTGCAATTATATCTGAAAACCTTATGAAGATATATTTAAAATACAATGACCTGCTGTAAGCTTTTACACATTTCTAAAGCTAAGAACTTGAGAATACCTGTTTTCTGTTTTCCTGTTCTTGCTTGGACTGGAGGATCGAGACCGTCTCCCTCTACTCCTGCTCCTCGAGCGCCTCCTCTCTCGGCTCCGCGATCGTCTTCTCTCTCGGCTCCGTTCCCTTTCTCTACTCCTTGAACGTCTGACAAGCAACGAAATTGTCTTTACTTAGGACATGCTCATAGTATAACTTAAGTCTTCTGCTGAGGAACAGTTTGTAAAAGGAACCCACCAATCATCAAGACCACTAAGAACTTACAAACTCCAGCGCCAGCAAGCCGGAAAGCATTTAATAAGCAAAAAGCCTTAAGCATAGTGAAATCCATCACAGACATCAGCAAAGCAACTAACTAAATGGGAGAACATCAATATTCAGCACACAGGCACTTTTAGATATTCTGAATGGAGATGATGTCATACCTTTGACGCTTTCTGTCCCGAGACCGAGACCTTCTCTTGTCCCTGCTGCGCGACCTCTCCCGTCTGCGATCCCGATCCCGGCTCCTGGAGCGCCTGTCCTCACGTTTCCTCTTGTCCGATGGGGAACGACTCCTGGAACGGCTCCCGGAGCGTCCCCGGGATGCAGAGCGCTTCCGATAATGCCTGCGTGGCACAGCCACAGAGTGTGAGCACCAGAACCATGTGCAGTTAAAGGATGTTTGTCAGGCAGTCAAGCAAGCAAAAAAATTATCTGAATTTCCTGGACTTTTTAGATGTCTTAACTTTTGTAATCATCTTGCCAGACTGATTAATATACATACTATATGTAAAATATACGGAATATGCATATACACTCTTAACAGCACTGAAATTAGGAGATTTTCTCTTAGTTTTAGAATACTATTGTAAGAATATCATGAGAACACCAGAATATCAACAACAATTTCCTTTTCAGAAATTCACTGATTTCCATTGTATATACAGGAAAAGCTGAAGGCTCTTTGAAGCTATCCCAAAATCTGTCATGCAAACAAAACTATTCTTAGTTGCTTTTAATACAATCAATGTTTACCCATGTAAGGTAGGTAAACTATACCTCTACTCAATGGGAAACTGTCAGACTGGAAAAAAACATAAGCCCCTGAGGATGTGACACAGCTGTGGTCAATGCCTTTACCATGCTGACTTCAACAGAAATTCTGTAATATCAAACATCACAGCAGAAGCTGTCAGAAGTCACCAAGGCTTGAGGGGTGTGTGATGGAGATGGGTGTCTCCTCTCCTCATTAATGCTCTTATCCCAACCACACTGTGGCGCAGAGCAGGGCTAGAAATTTTCTAGGAAACTCTTCAACTGAGTGTAGAAGTTACAGAGGGACTTTGACCATTTCCTCTTCCTCCAAACCCAGATTTTTGGTTACCATGCCAGAATAATTCCCTTGTTCACTCTCCCGTGGCTTAGGACCCACAGATCTTTTCTCCTAACAAGAGAAGCCATGCTTGAGAAGCAGGAAGAAGCAGAGAAGGCAAGATTTTAAGCCCCCCAACTCCTCGTTTCACTTCCATGGTAGTATTAAAATAGTTCAGCTCTAAAAATAGCAGTATATTTATATTTAGTCTACATTACGTGGTATATTTAGGCACCACATGCACTTGGAGTTAGTACAGTAGCATATACTCACATCCTGCCTATCAGCAGGATAACTGAGTGCAAAGAATGTCTGTCAGCATTGAGATTTGTTACTTCTTTTCCATCTCCATCATAAAATAGGATCTGCTCTATACTTCCTCTCTTTATAATCTTTTAGTTTTAATGAACTACTTTTGTTTTTAATTTTTTTTTCCTCTATAGTGTGCAATAAACCCAAAATGATGATTTCACGTTGCAGAAGCCCCAGTGTGAGGAACATATCCACTCATTCTCTTACCATTTCTTCACTTTTAAAACTTTCTCTATGTTAAAATAGAAAATTAATACAAGTTTAAAACCACTTTCAACATTATTTTTAGCCCAAACAGAAGAACCTTGTCCTTTCCAGCAGACAAATTATACTGTGACAAACAACACAGTCCTGCTGGCTGGAGTGCCAGACCTAGACTTTCAATTCAGGAGGCTCTAAGGGTGCCCTGTACTGCCCACTGCTGCCCCACCTCATCTGGAGCTAACTTAGCTAGATCTATGGGAGTGCCCGGCTCTGCACTAGATCACGAATTTGAGCCTAAGGTGGTTGTTAAAATTTTAAAACATCTGTCTCTCTCAGTGTAAATCTCCGTTTTGAACCTGGGAGCTGTCACCGTGTAGTACAACTGCATGTAGGGACTATCGTGTCAGCTTTATGGTAAAATCTGATTGAACTACGAGACAGAGGCATATGCCCGACAGCACCTACAAATTGTGAAATCAGTTTAAAGCCTGATAGGTGTGAGCAGCTCCATATCATCTGGAGCACAGGCCTGGCCCGAGCCACACGCAGCACAGGGGCACATTACTGCCGAACTGGTTACAACCCCTAACCAGGTCTTTCTAATAGCTATAAAAGGGCAAAAGATACGTGATACTGCAAAAATACAAAAGGCACAACCAAAAACATCTAAGCCAAGTTACCCCCTCTCAGTTGCTAATTGCGGCATTTTGGAAGCCCGCGAAGGCCTGAGGTGCTCCGGGAGCCGCGGGGTCGGTGCTGGTGAGCTCTGGCAGCTCGGACCCACCCTAGCGTGGGGACCCGCGGCGCCCCCGCCCAGAGCCCCGAGTCCTCGGCCCTGCCCTCAGGGCCGGCTCCCGGCCCGGGCCCTGCCGTGACGGCCTCAGGGCGCCTGCCGGCCAGGAGAGGCCGCGCCACCCTTTGTCGCCCTCACGGCCGCCTCACCGCGCCAGGACCCCCGAGCGAGCCGCGATCCCCGGGCGGGCGGGCCGGCGGCGCCACTCCCTCACCTGGACTCGCGGCCCATGGTGGCGGCGCTCCCGCTATACGGCGGCGGCCATTCCGCGCCCGCACGGCGAGGGCCCGGGGCGAGCACCGCCCCTTCCGGCCCGCCTCCCGCGCCGGCGCCCCCGGGCGGGCGGAGGGCGCAGAGCCGCCCCGGGCACACGAACGGGGGCTGGGAACCGAGCTCGCCCCGGCCCATCCGCACACAGCGCCAAGGAAGCGGGTAGCAAATAGGCTTTTAATGGAAAACAATCCGTCTGGCAATAAACATTAAATAGAATTATGTACACCAACAGAGGTAAGGTAAAAACGGAATAAAAGAGATTGATTTATTGGTCAAATGTCGTTTCTTGATCGCCATTTCTTCATCGAGATTTCTTAATTAAGTACAAGCTCCTCCTGGTGCTCTGCCTATGCAAGGGTATTTACTTGATTAAAGTTTTTATGAAGAGGATTAAAAATCCATTGCTTTTTGCAGGTACTGGTACAAATTTAAGGACTTTTGCAGGGATTTTTCCAATTTATTTGTATTACATTTGGGCATGTAAATAGAGAATCAGAACAAGTAATTTTTGAGCAAACTCATTATTTACATATCTCAACCTTAGCTTAAATTACAGTAATTTCAATTTCTGAAATTACGATGTAATATAAATAAATTCAAAGCTGCTGAATCAATATCTGTGCTAATAGACCTAAGTCAGAGTTTTCTGCAACCCAGCCTTGTATATCTGTAATATAATATTCACTGTAACATAACCAGTTTAAAAAAACCCATGAAAATGGTAAAATCAAAACGTAAGGTTCTTGTATTCAGGCCACAAACATATATCTAATTTAAAAGTCAGAAATGCATCACTAAAATTACAGGAGGAAGCTTTAACAAAGATTAATCAGCCGAAAGCTGGGCCATTTGGAGAGGTACAATCCAACACATCTGCTCCCTGAAAAAACTTCTGCAGGCAAATACCAAGTTAAATATTTGGCTTACCATGCTAAAAATAGGCATCAGCCTATACTACCTGAAAGTCCAGATTTTAAACAGAAAAGTACAAGCTGAAAACACTACCAAATTTGGCTTCAATAGAGATTTTCAGAGATTAATAGCATTTACGTTGACTATTTGGAATGACACTTCCTTCCTCTCACTGTGCAAAATTCATAAGGGATGGAAAACAAAACTGTTTCTCTTGTAAGTTTTACAAAGACTAGAGCAAAGATTTGATACTGCAGGTTGGGTGCCAATATATAAAAATTCTCATGAGATGAACTGTTTACATAAAAAAACATATCAGAAAGCACAGGGGTAAGCTGCACTAGGATTAGGTTGCTGGAAACTCATAAACAGATACAATTAGTTCTCTTTCTTCTTACTTTTTGATTAATGACCTTTATAAGCACCAGGATCTCCTTGTTGGTTTTGCTTAGCTCTTTTCCACAATAATCATCAAATTAAATTAATTACAATCACAACAAATAATGTACAGCAAGGACAAAAAAGTGGCAAGTTTCACCAACATTCTCCAGAATCAGCTACTTGGTTCAACATTCGGAACTTGAACATTTGAAGAGAATACAGGGATTCTTTTCCTTAGAGCTTTCTTTAAAAAATGGAAACACCACAAAATGAGCACGTCTTGTTAGTTATAGTCATACAGGATATACATATATATATGGTTCTGCTGAAGGGAATTCTCTTCTTGTTCTCACTAAAAAGAACAAAGGCAGCTTTGTAAATATTTATGAAGGAGGCTGAGAAGGGCATCATCTAACTAAAGCAAATAAATCATTCACTGACACTTGCATCCTAGCCTTCACATTTGTAATATGCAGACACAGTAAATAAACTGAACCAACACAACTGGCAGTCGGGGACCCTGCTCTCCCTTTCCCAAAATTACTGGATTTAAGGCCCCTTTCAAGCATTCCAACAGGTAAGAATTTTAATGAAGGTTTAGACCTGCCTGCACAGTCAGATGTTAAAGGAACACAGTCCAGAAAGCTTTAGTGTAGCTACTGTGTGGAATTCTACAGCCATCATGGTACTTCAGAGCCAAAAACCAAAGTAAGTTCATGGCAAAAGATAAAAGTAAAGAAATAGACACAAAGGTCTGTGAAAACATCTCCCATTTTGTTGTAGGTGTCCATGGAGCGACTGATCACTTCTGCAGGGATTCCAGACAGGAGAAGAGCAGCAGTCAGTACTGTCGTTTTCACCTTCTTCTCACACTAAAAGGGAAAGAAAAGCCAGTATCATGTTAGTTCTTTTAATCCAATTCTGCTTTACATGTCACCAGTGTTGTCCAATTTCACACATTCCAAATTCATTGGAAGGAGTAGCAGGTTTGTATTGATTCTGTCCAGACACGCTCCAGGAGTCACAACACTTATCCTAGACACAGATTCCTGTTGTGATGGATCCAGCAGAGCCAAGTGAGAGGCTGGATAACAGCAGATAAAACTCATCCTGGATATTCTGCCTCCTTCTCACTACTCCTCCCAGCAGGCTAAGATGTGAGGCTTGGCAGAATGCAGCTGCTCCTGGATGAGCGGAACCACTCCCAGACAAGGGAAATCTAGGTGTAAGAAGCCAAGCCTGGCATCTCCACTGTCAGAACTGGATTAATCTCATCACACTTCGGCAAAAAACAGAATCCCAGAATGGTTTGAGCTGGAGGGATCCTAATGCTCATCTCATTCCAACCTCCTGCTATGGGTAGAGACAACTTCCACAGACCAGGTTATTCAAAACCCCATAAATGCTGTCAGGTTTTCTAATAGAAAAATTATTTAGAGTTGAAAACCAACTGTTTCTGGTTTAGAACAACTTAATTTGGCAGTTTATCCTCTGAACTCAGAAATGCTCCAAAAACTTTTGAAAGCTGTTCCATCCTTAAGATGAGGAATCCCAAGGATGCAAGTCTGACAGGCAGGAAAAGGTGACAGTGGCTGAAAATTCTAGTAATTTGATGATAGTTGCTGGATATTTTAATTTAATCCAATCTAAATTAAGCTTTCAAGAATATTTCTGTGTTTCATGTGAGAAAAATGAAGATTAGCAAAAGGATTGACCTCACTCAGGTCTAACTGCAGTAAAAGCAAGTTGTGGAAAGGAACCACCTCTTTGAATTCTGACACTGAAGATCTGATTTTAAGTACACCAGAAACAAGATCAAGATGATGTAGCAGATGAGCTGGTACAAATCTAAGGCTAATTTTACTCTTTTATGTTATGACACATCATCTTAGAATGACTATTATGATATATTTAACTACCAAACAACTGCTGATTTACTCTGATTTTCTACAAGTAATCTATTTTTCCTTTTAAAGTGCAAATTTTCCCTTTTAACTACGGATTGAACATCATTCAATCCCATTCTGCATCACAGACCTGACAAAGTCATCAACCTACCAAATACTTCAGCACAATTACCTGTTGTAAATACATAAAGCAAGCAGTATAGCAAATAAGCAGCAAGTTTGACACACAAACAAATGTTTCATTTCAAGCTGCCTTTCAAACCAATACCACCAGTGGAATGCAGAGGCCTTGAAACTCAATATACTGCATCATTTTTTAGCAAACACTCTCCCAAATTTCATCCAGATATTACATGCAGAACAGCTGCTAGCAAAGCAAATAATCCAGAGAAGACCATGGTCTAAAAGAAAAGCAAGTTTCCTGAAGAGATGAAAGAACTACCTGGATTTCCTGGTCAGATGCTTTTAATTAGGTTACAGCTACACAAGCTGCTAGTCCATGCTTTCACTGCAACTTTAAAAAAGATCCTCGACTAAATCTGGAAAAATTAAAAACTAGTACAAACTATCAGCATTGGTCATTCAACTCTACAGTTTAAAACAAGGGAAGAATACTTCACATGCATTGGTCCTAAAACAACACAACCTAAACACAAGTTTACATTGAAAACGTTTAAAATTAATCTAATTCTGAAAAAAAAGTTACCTTTGGAAAGTACTTGGACAGTCCCATGTAAGCAAGTTGTAGAGTAAGAAATGGTGCAAATATTGACTGAAGGAACAGAAAAGAATAGATGAAAATTAACTTGGTAGAATTGCTAAGAAACACAAAAATTTAATGCTTTCTAAGTCATAGAAGAAAATTAGTAGGTAAAGATTAATTTGTGGAACAGAGCAACATTGTTCTTGAACACTACAAATTCAAGTAGACAAGTTACATGTCAAAAATAAGATTCTGCCCTATATTCTTTGAGCCTAAAGAACAGAAATGGCAGAGGAGAACAGCAGAGTGTAAAACTGAGAACAGGGATCCAGAAGCTCGATGGCTGTACCTATCTCACACCTCTGTGCTGTTGCTCTGGCAGGCTCTGGGAATACTGAGGAACGACTTTTCCCAGGCTGATAAATGAGTAGGATCTACTTATCTTGGTACAACTATTATTCTTAGAATCACTGAATGTTTTGAGTTGAAAGTGACCAAAAAAGCCATCTCACTCCAAACCCCTTCCATGGGCAGGATATTTTCCATGAGACCAGGCTGCCTCAAGATTCATCCAACGTGGCCTTGGACACTTCCACAGATGAGAACCCTATTCTTACTCTATTATTCTTTTATAGACTCCGAACTAGAGGAGCAGCTGACTCATATGCTCACCAAGATGGGAATAAACTTGAAGGGGACTTAAGCTGCAACAACTATTCCAGCATCTGCTCCTGAAACACAACAGACCAAACGTGCTGCTCTCAGTGGTTACACAGCGGCTATGTTGGTAGCAGATTAATCTCATAGAATTCAGCAATTTTTTAGGTTTTGTACAATTTTTGGAAATGTAAAGTATGCCTGAAGTTCCCAACTTGGTCATTACTGATAGACTTCAGCCCCAGATATATACCAATAATTTGCACCAACCAGCAAACCCCAGCAGGACTGTGTCCCTGAACTCACCAGGTACTTGCATACAAAAGCCCTGACCGCGATGGCAAGCAGAGCACATCCCACCAATCTGAAAATGCGGAAAGAATCAAACTCCTCCACCGCATTCCCATTCTCTTGGCTTGGCTTCTCACTAATCAGCTGGTTCCTCAGTTTCAGAGCTTCATCAAACCTGGACAGGTACTGCTCCAAGCCGTGTCTCGGTGGCCGTGGTGCAGCCTCAGAGGGCAGCTCTCCCCTTTGACGGTGACGGAGTTCGCCTGTCCCCTCAGTGACCAGCTCTGGGGCTTTTCCAAACAAGTCCTTGTCCCCTCTGAGCTCTGCCATGCTGCCTGCGTGATCAGCTGAGCCTGTCACATTACACACAGAATCACCAAGCACAATCCGCTTGGAAACTGAAGGAATGGGAAGGGAGTTTGATTTATCTTGCTCATGCTGAAGCTTTAATTCTGTGTGACTTTCATCATCTAAGGAAGAAAAATAAAAACACAGTTATGCACACTGAGTACATGGAACAACACTTCAGCTACACTTGATCAGGAACCTGGGTCTCTGCTTCCCAAGAGAAAAAGACAGGTTTATGATTAAAGACAGCACTCTTCATGGAACAGACACAAGACATAAAGCTGTGCAATGCAGGTCAGAAGTTGAAGTTGTCAGTCAGCAATGGAGAAATTAAAACACTGAACTTCCTTAAGCAACAGCACTGCATGCACAAGCAAAAAGATCCAAATACATGGACTGACATTTAAAAAAAAGACAAAGATTTGCAGAAAGTGAATCAACCAGAAGAGCACTAATACCTGACAAATAACCAGCCAACATAAGTGCACTTTAGTTTGCTGTCTACTGTCAGAGGCAGGGCAGTGTTAACCTGCTCTGTATTAAACCTGAAGACCCATCTCACAAAGAGGGAGGTGGTGATGGCAGAGAGCAAAAGACTAATCAAGAACGTGTCTGGTCCTACCAGACAGCAAGAACTAACACTTCAGGAGTACTTTTCAGTGTTACATCAGACTGATTCATGGCTCATGGACATCCTTGTACACTGAAATCTGAGAACTCTTTCCTGATAAGACAGCCCACTTGAAGAATGTACGGAGATATAACTGAGCTACCTAGGATACGGATCTTCAAGAAAATTCTGCATGCCAACCACAAACACCTATGTCACTATCCAAATGTGAGGTAACTTTGCTATAAAAACAGCTATGAAAGCCAGCAGCTACTGGCTAAAAACATGGGGGAGGCTCATCATTTTTTCAACTAAAAAAGACTACTTGCAGTGAAACGACAGCTTGTATGCTCGCTGTCTAGAGACCGTGCCGGGCCTAAGTCCCGACCTTCTGATGGCACAGGGATTTTATGGGCGGGTCCCTCGCGGAGCAGGGCAGGTCGTGCTGCTTGAAGCATCCCTGCGAACGAAGGCGGCGAACTAAGAGACCGGAGAGCCAGCCGCTCCTGCTCACCAGGGGACTGCGGGTAGCGGTCACGGCCGGAGAGGCCGAGGCGTCACCGCAGCCCCGGAGTCCTCACACAGCCCCGCCGCACCCGCTACGGGGCTCACCCTTGCCCACCGCGGGCCGGTGGAAGCCCATGATGCGGTTGATCCGCTCCTCCGAGTTCATGAGCAGCTTCCTGCGGCGCAGCTCTGCGCGGCGCTGGGACGCCGAGAGCCCCGCGGGGGGCCCTGGCGGGGTTGACACCGCTCCCGCGCCGCCGTCCGCCATCCCCGGCACCGCAGGCCCGCCACCACGGGCCCGCCCCGCCCAGAGCGCAGGCGCCGGCACCGCCCGCCTCCAGCCGCTGAAGCAGGCGCCGCCATTTTGCGTAGGGACAAGAGAAGGGCGGGGTGCACTGGGAGAACGCTCCCTGCGCCCCTCCTGGCGGCGCTTCGCCCGCAGCCAAGATGGCCGCCCCGGCCTCAGAAGTGACGTCACGGCGCGAAGGCCAGCGGCAGAGGCCGGAAAAGGGCGGTTGTGGCGCTAAGGGGACCCGGGTGACGGTACAGCCCGACCCTGGCACTGCACCGCTGCGGGACTGACGGTGCACACTGAGGAAACACCAACAGACAAGCAGCTCTCGAGGGCGCCAGAGCTACTGGCGTTATAGAACAGGGAGCATATTAACTTCTTTCCAATAAGATAGAGTTGGTACAATACTAATCTTTATATACACTAAGAGTCCGTTACACCTCTCTGTGTCAGATGATGAAACTGCCACATTACTCTTCCTTTACCTGAACAGCTTCTTGGCAAAGCACAGCCAAACCAAATGATACACAGGACTCCCATCCGCACCATTGCCTTCGACAGCTCTGGCACCGAACGGCTTCACTCCCCACCCCAGAGGCACTGCCGTAGGAACAGGACTCAGCTCCTGGGAGAGCCTGGAATTCCAATACCCAATGCCAGGACAGGGTGCTGCCTGATCCCCAAGCCACAACAGGAGTGGTGGAGTTCAGCAGCAGCAGGACAGTGTTATGTGTATTAGGAAAAAAAACAGAGCTGATAAGTCCAATTAATATTTCTACAATATTGTATGAGAGAATTCTGTATTTAAAACCAGTTAAATACAGAAGTCAGACTACCAAGCTCATGTATTAACTCTTCTATGATAGGCCAGAGGCAGCAGTGATAACAGTTCAAAAAATTTGCAAGCATTAAGATGGAATTTACAAAAAAGCTGCTGAAATAATGAGATGTTAAATGAAGACACAGGATTACTTAAAATAAAATTGATCCTCATATTGGAATGCTGCTGAAGGCTAAATTCCAACCATCACCAGCCCACGAGCTGGGCTCCTGTGACCAACATGGCATTTATCTTAATTGATTAAATACATTGTTCTACTTTTATTTGTAAGAAAGCAGTGATGGACTGGCATGAGTTCTTTCAATTAATTTTATTGAGTAGCCAAATCTGATAAATTAGCACAGATAAAATAAGCATTTGCATGTGTTATAAATGACTTTTTACAGGAATAAAACAGTGAAAATTACAAACTGTAAAAAGGAGGACAAGTAAATCCTGTCTCAAATTCGGAAGGGGAAAGATTTATAACTTCATAGTGAAGATCAAATCTTTGAGTTCAGAGAACAAAGATTTAATATTACAATATTATACACTACTTTACAAAATTAAATTTACTATAAGGATTAGATCCAGAATAGTAAACAGAACCTTAAAGTCACATTTAATGGTCCCTTAACAGCCATTCTCCATCTCTGATTAAATTCTGTTAAGAAATTAACTCTAAATAAAAGTGAATCATTCTAATTATTGCAACACAGTCTATGTGGACTTAGACTCATATCAATTTTAAAACAATAATGAAAGCAAAGTAAAATGGATGGTAACAACGTTGGCTGAACACTAATGTATCAAATACAGAAATAGTTTTTTAAAAAAGTGTTTGACTACAAAGAGAGACACACCTCTACCACACATTTACAGTAGTAGAGCTGTTATGCTGAGATCCAAGTACCAAACACTCTTGCCTACTTTCGCACTTCATCTTCCGTATCCTCATTTTTCAATTGTATGTAAAAAAGCAATCATAAGTAGTGTGTGTATTCATGTTCCCTGTATTGGCATTACAGCAGTACAAGTGAACCAGCAGGCCTTCTCCACTGCAAAGGAATAAACTAACCAAGTTCAATACAGAACTTCTTCCAAAGTGAAGAGAACTTTGAGAGGGTTCATCTGACCTATTCATCATGTTTTGCTCTGTAGAACTTAGGGACTCAAATTCAAACTTGTTAACTGCCACAAAGACTGACATCTTCAGCCATTAGGCCTCATTGCTTTATGTACACCAGACATCTCCAGTACTTTTGTTTCTTAAAAAAAGGGATATAGTAGCAAAACACCGTCGTAGTAAGAAACAGACTTTGGGTGGGCTATTTGATGCAAGGATGGTTTTCAATTCAACATCTGAGTGATAACATACCCAAAACACAAGGTTTAGGGCAGAACCTATGCAAATGCAGAGGTTCCATTTATGATTTAAATGAAGAGACCCCTTTACCACTCCCTGGGGGGAAAAAAAAAAAATTAAAAAAGCAGACTGTCAAAACTTAAGACACCTCTTCACTATGACTAGAAACTGTGCAATTCTCTGAAAAGCAGTTCAAGTAAATATATTCCTGTTTGCTACAGAGGCAGCAGACAGGGAAGCTTAAATTGGTTCTATAATAATCTTTTCATGCTGTTTTAGCCATTGTTCTGAACTTTAGCTTCTTGTGCTCAACAACAATTTCTCCCAAGGAACTCCTCCCCAAAAGTAAGCGAACTCCTCACAATCATAAACAGCTGCAGTCTGAAATGGGAACAAATGCTTACCCAAATGTTGACGCTATTGACATTTGTATCTCCAAATGTCCTAAGCACAGTATATTTGGTCACTCAAGCATTTTACCTCTTCAAGTTATTTGCCCCAGAAAGCAGGTTTTGCAAGACCTTTAAGTTTACCACTATTAAATAAAAAAAGCAAACCAAGATTTTTCCATAGGCATTGGAATACAGTAACTTAAATACTCTTTACATCAGTAGCTATCAATGATAGCTTAATCTTGAAAATAGAAGAATCATCAATATACTTCTATAAATTATTTAAATACTTTTTGTATATAAATTTTTACTTCAAGTTCGATGTCAGCTTTGATCTGTAGCTCTCGAAGGATCTGAGAGTATATTTAAAGCTTTTACTTGGTGCACATTGGCCTTGGACCTGGGCTCATTACACAGCTGCAGCAAAAAACCTATTGTTTGAAAACTTCGGGCATGTCTGCAACCATATACAAATCTTCAAATGCAACATAATAATTTTGTTCTTGGAAAAAGAATTTCTTATTTTAATATCAGAATATTCAATGTTGCAGACTATCGTTTGGTCTGAAGTGCTGCCAACAAAATTGCTTCAGAAACACACCAGATCTGAGGGGCCCAACATTCACTTAATGTAAACAAGAGCCAAAAGTCTACTGAACATAAACCAGACAAAATCTGAGAAAACCTTCCTTGCTCTTCCCCTCCCACATCATTCATAAATTGAAATTAAAACTATTCCTTTTACTGAAGAAAAGCAAAGCTTACCATCTAAGTCTGCTTTTGCTGCCAACTCAGCCAATGACTTTTTAAAATCTGCCTCACGTAGAGCCCACTCTTCCCCACTGTTTTTAAAATTAGAATACTGACTTATTAAAAGCGTCAACAAATTCAGCCACCTTATCCAGGTTAAGCTTACCTTTAGTCCTATTAGCCATAATCCAATCCAAGCACTGGATTCTACACTTCACAAGCATTTGTTCATTTCACAATGAACACTTCTTTCATTGCTACTTTAAGCATTAAGTTGAACATTGAGATGCTCTGTCTGTAATCACTGGATGTACTTAGAAAGAATTTCCCTGCAAATCATGATCAGTATTGTGAGGTTTTATATCTAGCAGCAAAAAAAAAAAAAAGTTACAGAAATATACATTTTGAACAACAAAGAAATCTTTATTTTACAAAATGTATTTCACCTTTTCAGTATTGCCTTGTAAATGTACTTCATGCTGCAACTACTTACAGTAAAAACACGATCTGCAGCAAATTAAAGGCGCTCAACCAGTTCCAACAGTTTGATTTTTTTTTTTTAAGGTACAATATGTAGTTGCACATTTGATTCTCAGATGTGGTCCTTTATTTGCTTTAGTTCGTTGAAATCACAGTGAGAACTTCTCATCAACTGCCCCAGGCCACAGATTTAATGAAGATATTATAAGCACAATCATTCTTTACTGCAAAATCTTTCCTTAAAGGAGTAAGCCAAAGGCTTGTGTTTCATTTATTCACTTGCTGCTGTATATGAAGGAGGAATTCATAGTATGATAAGGCTGATTCTGTTCTGTCTTCAATCATATTTTGCAGGAAACTTGATTTCAGTGGACTCTCATCCCTTAAAGACAGAAATATAAGTGTTTGAATGGAATAAACATTTGCCATGGGCTACCATGCTATAATAAAGTTACAAGTCAAGTGGCAAGACATTTCAAGAGCATAAGGATACACAAAAAGATGATCTCAAATATCCTTTAGCAGTGATTAATCCTAGTAAGTGCTCTTACCAGCATTTACTTCATTTATCTGACATTACCTAAAGATTCTTCTGTGATATTTAGTGGTTTTTAGTTTTTTGAAATTCTGATTGGAGACAACTCATATGTCATATGACTACAGAATTAAGAATTCCATAAAGAAAGTTCAGTATATGATATCCAAGTATGTATTGTTAACAGGCTGCTGAAGGAGCAAAAAGACTGTTAAAACACCACTTACTTTATTATATATAGTATAGGAAAGAAAGGTCTCTGTTCTCTCAGCCAAGAAATGAAAGCTCGTGTTCTGATGGATTCTGCCGTTTCAAGTTCTGGGAGATGTGTCTAAAAGTCAAAGGGTTTCATTAATACAAAAAGGGTATTCTTCGGAAAAACAGCAAAAGGAACACAAACTAGCCCAACTCATTAGGTATAAAGACAGATAGGTTTTGTGAGGTATAGTTTCAGTCTTGTCTTCTTTGAAGGGGCTTGAAATAGTCAAGAGCAATAAACTGCTATCAGCAATTAGCTGTCAGAATGGTCATGACTGAGCTGTGATTGATTCCTGTTCTGCTGCAGAAACTACAGGATTTCCCACGAACCTACTGTGCTCACTGTTTGCAAGCATTCTTCCTCTGTTCTCACAGGTCTGAGAAACGCAATCATTGTCAGCCTCTT